GCTGTGATGATGGCTGTAGCTCATCTTCTTCACACACGAACTTGGGGGTGAAACTACCGCTCCGGAGGCCGGGCGCGCAGCCTGGGAACCGCCACGCGTCCTGCAAGCTCTCGGCTCTTTAGCAGAAATCCCTGCTTCACACGGCTTGGCTTGCTCCGTGCGAGCTGGGCTTGCGTGCTGTCGTATCTGTGTCAAAAAATACTGAAATGGAGGTGCCTTATGTGGAATTTTAACTTGGTTTTTTTTGGTTTGGTTTTTTTTTTTTAAAAAACCTGTTTCTTAACCTGCTGTTAATCCTCTCAAAAATGGAAAGGATAAACTTTGAACTATTTCTCATTTAAAAAAAAAAAAAAAAAAAAAATTATATTTTGCTGGCTTCTGTCGTAACTTCAATGGGAAGATGAGGAAAGGCTAAATGAGAAATGGCCTTTACCAAATCTTCTCTGTCTCACCTGGGAGGTGTGAGGTGGGGGGGAGGGCTGCGGGGAAGGCCGGCTGCCCGCGACGCGCGGTGACACAATTCACCCACACTGCTTTTGGCACACGACCCGTTGCGCCAAACCGAAGCAGTAAAGAATCCATTTGGCAATAGGACTGCCGGGCGAGGTGTCTCGGTACAACTTCGTAAACAGTCGCTACGTGTGAAAGTTTAACTCTCCAGCCGTGATCAAAACAGGCAAAGGGAGACTGATGGAGCCGTGATGCTCTTCTGAGGTCGCTCATCTGGAGCAAACTCGTTATCACAATCTGTGGCTTTACAGTTGCGCTTCCTGCGCGTGGCCCTAAATCAGTTCATTATCCCGAACTTCCTGACATTCAGGAAACGGAGCGTGGTGTGGGGGTTGCGGTGCTGCGGCGGCCAGCAGTACAGAGGGACGAGAGCCGCAGTGAGCGCTTTGGGGGATCAGATACGCCCGTAACCCCCTAGAGATGGGAACGGGACCCCTTGCTTCACACCCCACCTGCCTCTGCGTGTGCTGTGTTCGTTAAGAGTCCTGGGGTGGGAAGGTGAAGGTGGCGAGATGTATGTTTCTAAACAGGAGCTGTACCCTCTCAGCCCACAACTGCAGTAGCCGTCTGTGGGCTAAGAGAATAAAGCACTTAAAATCTCCACGGTTTGTCTAACTCGGCTCATCTTGCGGTAGAAGGAGCAATGGTGAAACGCTCCGCGTCACCCACCGTGGCTTTAAAAAGACACCCCCGGTGGCAATCGCTGTTTTTCCTCTCGTCTTCTTTGCTCCTTGCTTCTGCGACAACTTTAAATGAGAAAGAATAGCGCTGCGCTTTGCTGCAAGTGGCAGGAATCGGACCAGTTGGAGGGAGGCTGGTTTTCTGGCCCGGCTGGCAGAGCTGCGTGGTGTTTGAGTATCCGGCAAAGGCGGCGTGGTGAGAACCACTTGCGGCCTCGTGCGGGACCCTGGCAGGGGTGGCCGGAGCTGGGAAAGCCCAGTTCGTCCCCAGTCCCCGCTGTTTCCAGGCTGGTGGGGACTCACGTCTGCGACCCACCCCCCCGTGACTTGGGAACAGTGGGGCTGCAGCCACCTGCATTTCAAAGCAGCGTTATTTCCATCGCGCCGGTGACGCTGCGGAGAGTTGCAGCTCACTTTTGGCTGAAGATCCTTGCTGGTGTTGGATGCTCTCCCCGTGGAGCACCTGTTTTGTTAAGGATGTTAACAGCTTCAGCAGCAAGCGTGGGGCTGAAGAGCAGGTGGCCAACAATGGGGTCAGCATTAAAAGCTTCACTTAAAATACAGCAATGTGACTTCAAATCCACTGGAGGCTAAAGCAGGGAACCGGGTGGGTTTTTTTTTTCCTTGCCTCCATCTGTCATCCTTAAAACTGATGTTGAAAGCAGCTTACAGCTTCATCAGCTTCCACCGTGAGCTCCTGGATGCCGCAAAGCTTAGTGTTTTCTTTCATACCGCTTTACCTTTTGTGGCCTAAAAGGACACTTGCGCTATCTTTTTATCCTGCGGCATTTGTGGCTAACGGAAGGGTGTGCGGCGAAAGGCCAGCAGCTCCTTCAGCGGGGGCCCGTGGGGAAGCAGGTACTGGCCATCCCTCCAATGCCGCCTCGCTGCCGCCTTGCGAAGAGGGAAAAGGTGTTTTCAGCCACAGCTGCAATAGTGGGCGAATCCCCGGTGTGAAATCCTTTTGCAGCTTTTCAAACAAACTTTCTCTCTTTCCC